CTCTGACCTTCAGTAATAAATGATTCTGGTCTGAAATGCTTCACATTATCTGCTTGGATGTGAGTAGTTATCTGCTCTTTCTGGCTTCGATTGGCTATTTCGGATGCGGGGGGGCTGGGGGGGTGATGAAGCTACAGCCACAGTCGCTGCTACCGAATCCAGACAGTTTTCTTCAGGAAACGTTGAACCAATTCACCTTCAGCAATCACTTCTGTGGCGTCATTACTGCATATTTTTGACTGGGGGGGCACTTTCTCTTCTACTGCACAAATGTTACATTGGTTACAAAATGTTACAGAAAAGCTGCTCCTCGAATTATTATATTCAAAACCGATTCTGTCTGAGCAAATTACGAGATACTATTTTCTTTGTCTTCAGTACACATACTGGTGTAATGCATTTGCTTATCTGACCTAGAATTTAAGGACTTGTGGAACTGCTAAAGATGTACAGAATAATGTAGACCTTAAAATGTTGATGGTTATCCTGATTATCCAAGGCACTTGTTCAGTGGCACTGTCGACGGATGGGCAGGCCGTAGATTGTGCAATTCTGTAGATGGTCTTCATAGGTTCTTTATAGAAACATACAACCTTCAGGATTGATTTAACTTACTCATTTGGTTCCTTTCTTTATTGTAACAATTATCCAGGATACTCTCATTACTAAGCTACAGCCAATTAGAGGGGCATAAAGTATTAAACACACACAAACAAAAATTTGGATTGCCTTTAAGTTTAACTTAGAGATCCAGGTGTGACTGCAGAACTTCAGGATCCGGATAGCACTGTGGTGCCACATTAGGGATGGGGGGGGGAGGAAGGTCTTGCTTTTTGGTGAGTGACGGATTCTCCTGGCAGTTTTTTTTTTAAATGATTTGGGCTCAAGCATATTTGTTTGCACGACACATTGGGGGCTTTTGGAGGGAAATGGCAGCAGAAATTCTTGGGTGATAATTGAAAGAGGTCTGTTTGGGTGTAATGATGTGACATCTCGCAAATGCAGAACCAAGTCGAAAATAACTAGCGGAAATGAGTTGTTTATCAGGAGTGTTAAGTGGGAGGTTGTTTCAACCAATAGGGTGCAGCGGAGGTCGGGAGAAACTAAATCGGAAAAAGGTGGGGGGGGGGGGGGGGAGCGCCATGCCCGACACAGTCCTCTCCTGTGATAGTGGAGAGTTGGGCAGCATGGTTCGCTCCTTTTATGGGTGAAGTGAAAAACTGCCACATTTGTAATTTGTTGGATTTTTCCCTTTCATCTTCATAACAATCCCTCCCTGTGGCATCTACACATGACATTGTTGAATTTAAAAAAACGCCCTTAAATATCGCTGTCCCAAAAACCCCCTTCAACTCCAAAACAGGCGGCTGATAAACAGCAAAACGTTTTCTTTGGCATTCATAGTATATTTTATATATAATTTATTTTTAATACAATATATATAGCTTGGACTCTTATATATCTCTTCTGGAAGCTTCTCATCAGTGTCTATTTCATTCTGAATGTAATGTTTCATCTGTCTGTCTGTCTGTCTCATGTCATTTATCGCCGAATGTTTCTATCACATAATTTTTTGCTTCTGTTTACCTTCACGTTTCCTGGCACCCCAGTGCCTTCTGGGTAATGTAGTCAAATATGAGGATACTACACTGATTTTCTTGAGAAGCTGTTAACTGTGCCTGGTGTCTGTCAGACTGAGCGGAGCATGTAAGCTTATGCAAAAGCAGACAGATCTCCTCCGTGAAAGTAGTGCATTCATTGGCAGTGTTCCGTCTCTTCCTGGTTCTGCTTGTAAACTTGCCTTATTCTTCACTCCATACAAACTGACTCAGGGTTTGCTTTATAAAGAACACTTTACCTACCCATGCTAATTTTCTGTCTTGCTAAAGACAAGAGGAAAGAGTTATACTTGCCGGCAATGTGAGCTGAGTAGGCCGTAAAGCATATTCATCATAGCCTCACTTACTGGATTCCTCTGAGAATAACGTTGTTAAGGAAAACGAGGGATGTGGATGGTCATGTGCTTCATCTGGAATTCCAAAGGGCTTTCTGCGAAATTTCCCGTTTTAAAACGTGATCCTGACTTCATCCGAGTCTGATCAGAGTTTGAAGGCTGATCCCTAAAATACATTCAGCTGGTTTCCACAGTAGATCCCTTCTAAGGAGAACAAACCCCATCTAAGCTCCTGTAATCAGCTATTCAGTCGCACCATTTTGTTTTATTGTAGACTTTGTACTGGGATTTTTTTAGTGAACTAAAATTTAGAGAGTTTTTAGTGATTTTTTTCATTCTTAAAAAGATGGAGCAGAATAGGTGACTTTTCATTTTAAATCACGTTTATTGGGTTGATTCTTTGATTCCTCTGCATGAAGCCGGATGCTAAAATGTTACTGAAACCAGTAAAAACTTTAATGTAGAAAAATAAAACATATTTTTCTGTGATTGTTTCTAATAATGATAATAGCTCATATAATGGGGGGTTGCATGTCTTTTCTTATGCTGTGGAGTGATATTAGTGTGCATCTAACAAATACTGATAGGAGATGAATGGATGGATGGATGATGGATGGATGGATGGATGGATGGGTAGGTGGGTGTTTGGAAGATAGATAGATAGATAGATAGATAGATAGATAGATAGATAGATAGATAGATAGATGGACGAATTAACAAATAGATCGATGCCCCCCCGATCTCTCTGGAGCTACAGACCTGCTCCGCCAGAAGTGATTTGGCTCCCCGCTGCAGGTCAGAGGTCAGGAGCATGCTCCATGAGGGTGGGCTGGTGCTGCAGAAAGCGCAGCCGCTCTCTCGTGCGAGCTCGTGGGGAAGAGACTTCCAGATGAGCCCATCTGACGTGTCCACGGCCCAGACATGCAAATGAGCACACTGAGGGAAAAAAGAAGAGAGAGAGAGGGGGAGAGAGAGAGATAGAGATGGGGAGGGAGAGGGAGAGAGAGAGAGAAGGAGAGAGAGGAGGGGAGAAATAGAAAGTGACAGAGGGGGAGAGAGAGAGAGATAGAGATGGAGAGGGAGAGAGAGAGAAGGAGAGAGGGGGAGAGACAGAGAAAGTGACAGAGGGGGAGAGAGAGAGAGATAAAGATGGGGAGGGAGAGGGAGAGGGGGAGAGAGAGAAAGAGACAGAGAGGGGGAGAGAGAAAGAGAGGGGGAGAGGGAGAACGAGAGGGAGAGAGACTTGTAGATGACCGGCTGCCGGCAGAAGGACATACGGCCATGTTATTGGAGAGTAACGACAGTCAGGAGTCTGCAGCCTTCATGTGTCCTTTAAAAAGGGAAAGTGAAGAGATTCCTCAGAGAGAGGCTCTCCCCCAGCCTGGAGAAACACGGCCAGTGACCACGCAGAGGCTCACCTGACCCCATTCCATCAGCTGCACATGGAGGACATGCGGGGGCCGGGGGGTCAGCGATGCATCTCCTGCCAATGCCCGCCTCCATCATGAAAAGTTAACACTAAAAGCCGCGGAAAAGCTCGCCCCATACTTGTTTTTTACGCAGTGGCATTTCCTAATATGCATTAGGGCAGTGCTTGCCAATTCGGTCCTTGGGGACCTGCAGACAGTCCATGTTTTTGCTCCCTCCCAGCTCCCACCCAGACAGTCCATGTTTTTGCTCCCTTCCAGCTCCCTGCCAGACAGTCCATGTTTTTGCTCCCTCCCAGCTCCCCACCAGACAGTCCATGTTTTTGCTCCCTCCCAGCTCCCCACCAGACAGTCCATGTTTTTGCTTCCTCCCAGCTCCCCACCAGACAGTCCATGTTTTTGCTTCCTCCCAGCTCCCCACCAGACAGTCCATGTTTTTGCTCCCTCCCAGCTCCTGGTCGGAGCAAAAATATGGACCATTTGCGGGTCGCCAAGGGCCGGCTTGGGAAACACTGCATTAGGGTGTAAATGAGCTTACTGTACTGTGATTTCCTATTCATTTTTCGTTCTCTAAATTGGCAACTTGCTTTTACATACAGCATTAATGGTCAGCTATGAATAATGCAGGAAACGGCCATGATGCCTCTGATTATGCAGCCTGTTCGTTAGTGGCCCCTACTGCCTTAATCTTACGCCCGCATTTTTGACTGCTAAATTTCTAGTTATTTCATCAGTAATTTATGCTAAAAGAAATTCCTTAATGAGAAAAACACACAAACTGAAAACGGAGCAGGAAAGATAACAGAGAAATCCTTAAGTAACGTGATTATTGAAGCGGAATATGAATTAACAATTATTAAAAAGTCATAAGTGGGTAGGATCAAGAAACAAGTAAAGGCTGGCCTTTGGGTTCCCCCCCCCCCCCCCAACAGCTCATTCCTCTGACTGCTTTGGACCAGTTATTGCATTAGTTAATCTTTAATACTAATCGCCGCTTTCAGATGTAGTATTTATTAGGTATGGTGCCCAAAAATATGTGTACATCATGTGTGCTTCATTATTTTAAAGAGAATTTGAAATATAAAACCAAAAAAGAAACATCCTTTGGACTAATGAAACAGTCAAGACAGGAAGTCGGGGCAAGACCCCAGCTACTTTTAAAAGATAGGCTTCGTCCCATTTGCCCCACCAAGTGCACACTGGTGGGCACGCTCACAAACACAGCCTAAGTATCCAAGGGTGTCCCGTTCCTCAAATAAGTCAAGTGCAGTGCACTTAATATGGATTTTATCCACACTTTGGCAAATACCCCATGGAAGCAGTTTTCAGCTACTGTATGTGTATAGACTACAATGCTCATCAGTGACGACTGATGTTTACATACGTCACCAAAGTGTGTAGTGTCTCAGTGCGCTTGCTCTTAAGTGGGGAAAATGGGACGAAGCCAGAGTCTTGCAAAACTATGGATCGAAATGAATTATGGGAAATTGCAAAAGCTTGTGAGACATGTGAATGCCTTTGTTTTTGTTTGTGGCTGTTGTGCCTGGATGTGTCTGACTCTCTCTTCTCCTCTCCTCTTCTCTCCCCTCCCCTCCTCTCCCCACCCCCTCCATCCGCAGCCGAGGAGTACGCCGTGGAAGGTAGGGGCCCTGTTTCGCTCGCCTGATGTTGGCTGTCAGTGCCGTGTGTCGGATCGGCCGGCGGCGGAGGCTATTGGGCCTCGCTCGTCATGTGTGGCCCCTTCTGTGGAGGCTGTCTCTCAGGGTTTGGACTGCGGTTCTGATGACAGTGGGGCTGAAAATAACGACTGAACGATAACCAAATCCACATTAATTTACACATACTCCTGTCTGTATCACTTGGTACTTCCGAATTAGAAGGTGTTGTTTCTGTGAAATTTAAGATGTTTTGCTTATTTTAATACCTCTTTAGGAATACAGCATGACTATCAGAAGAAGTCAGATTGTATGTTATAAATAAATAATCGCATTCTATTCAGATATATCTGCCCTGTAGTACAGCAAGAGGTATGCAGGTGAGGAATCGTGTGTGTTGGCGTTACCGTTGATATGTCCGGGCATGTTGGGCTGTCATGGTAGAGTTATTAAGATCCACAATGGAGTGATTCTTATTAAGGCTGCATCTGGTTGTCTGGCGCATGGACGCCGTGTACCGAGGCGTTTGATCCGCTTTGTGTATGATGAATGTTGTTGCTGCCACTGCAAGGAAGAGGATCTCGTAATAGAGAGGGATGGAGGAGTGCCCAGTACAGGAGGCATCGGTCCTGTCACGCCGGCAAAGATGAATTAGCCCTGACTGGTTTTAGCGGTGCGGCGCTTTCTGAGATAATCCCCGGTGACGTTTGGCGGGTTTGCGGAGTTGACACTCCGCAATCCCGAGATGGTGTGAACTCATTTTCAGGCAATTTCGTCAAACTTCAGAGTTATGAAGAACTACGGGGTTGCGTAAATTTATTCCTGGTCTTTATTTGGCACGCCGTGTTTTCCTAAGATTTCTAAAAATGTGTTTGTAATCACGTATAACCTGATCAGAAATAATCTCCAGCAGTTTCATGGCTTCTAACTGTGCACACTGTGAATAACTCTACGTACTTTTTGAAGACCTGTGTCTTATGGCTGTCGTTATGAGGTTCCTCTATAGCGAGAACCAGACGACTGAAAGTTACCGATAAACATGCTGTATGCGGTGATTTTAACGTTGGTTCATAAACATCACGTCTCCTGCCACAGATATCAAAAATAAAAACTGTATATTTAGCCTTTATTCCCCCCCCAAAACACCGTAGAAGTGTTATTTGCTTTATTTAATTTTTTTTCCCTTGGAAATTATGTTTCTGACGTCAGGTGATTTGAGTTGTGTACCTGTTGTGTGGTATAACTGTGGCTGGTCCAGTGTTTTTAGATCTGATTTGCTGACACATATATGGTGGTCCCCGTACAGCGGTCCATACAGATTCCATTTTCGTTTGATTTGCACTATGGATTTACTAGGAACCTTAAACTTAATTCTGGAGCGTACGGTACGGTTTGTTGATTATTTCTCTCTTGCATAGCTGATGGTTCATTTGCCTGTCGTGCGACTTATTTTCAATGGGAGAGAAAGCTTTGGTTATCTATTTATAGATAATCAATTGATGCGTTTGTGGTCAATTATGTGTTGCTCTCAGCTGGAAAGGAAGCTGTCATCGATATTGATAAATGAGGGTTTTCTTCCTCGTTTGTCGGATGACAATAATGCACCTTTACGTCTCCCGGTATTGAGAGCAGACGCACACAAGCTTCCCGGTCGCCTCCGGGACCCCATTCCCAGCTGCTAATGGATTTCCCCGGGTCACATGTGGAGCTGAGGTTTTCCCTCTAACATATGGCATCTTTTGTAAAGGTCTTCCTAGCACATGCAGAAAGCGCGAGCGAAATCAGCGGCCAAATGGAAAAGACGGTACGAATATGCCGGCCTGCTGCGGCCCGGCGCCGGCTGACCTTTCCAGGCGGCAGCTGCCGGGCCGCCCGGGCTGGACTCTCCGGCACGCGAGCACAGGTGTCTAAAGAGCTGGGGGGGGGGGCGCCGGGCGGGGCCTGACAGCTGACCTTTCGGGCGGCGGCCTGCTGTCACTCGGCCCGCCCCCTCGCAGGTACTGACACCCCGGAACCGAGCACGGCCCCCCCACACTCATTCCCTTACTCTGCTCCTCAGGTGCCGACCGCCCCGCCTGATCAGGACAGGAGTTATCGCCTGCAGTGTAACACAATACAAATGGCAGCTCTGAGTACATTTTCCCACTTTACTTTCCAAATTAAAATGGCAAATATGCAGTGTAATGAAATATACGAAAGAAATGAAACTGTAATCTGTTACAGTTACTGCGATAAAATCTGTAAATAGATTACAGTTACTAATCACAAAGTTGGTGATTACATATGGGTCACCTCTGAATATGTTCTTGTCAGTAAGAAGCTTATATGTAGAATATAACATTCATTTTGTCGCTTTGTATCTTTTCGCCGTATAAAAATTCCTCCTTTTGGCATATTTCCAGACAGCGAGAGTCTTTGGGACATTTCAGCTTTATTGCCCAGTTTAAAACATTCGTTAGAAAAGTAAACAAAAAGTAATCAGATGTAATATGCTACATCAATAACGTAATCAAAATTTTTAACAGGGTAACTCATCATCTGTAACCTGTTACGTTTCAGAAGTAACCTTCTGAAAACAGCATACAGTATAAGGAATAACAATTACTGCACAACATGAGTTACAATCAGCAATAGATGATCAAACATATTACAAATAAATCTGTACTGTGTATGTACAATGTTATTGATTTGTGCCTATATTTACTCACGCCTTCACATGTAATGAATAATTGCTGATGGATGGATATTTTCATATAATGTACATTATAGTTGTATACAATGGGCAATATACAACTATAGTTGTATAGTTGTATACAATGGGCAATATGTGCTGAGTGATCATGCTGTTTGGAGCCATGAGGAATCCACTTCTGTGCCTATCACTGGCTTCCCTTTAGTGCTGCTGATGCAAGGCAGCACTTTCGATTGGATAAATGGGGAACTCCTTATTTGGGCCTCGTGCGCATGTCTGCAGTACAGTTGGAGAACGGGATTCGCTGGCCCAGAGACGAACATCAGCAATATGCTTATACTCTGCATTTATGCTGCTGAAGCTCTCCTACCCCAACACACACACACACACACAAACTCATGCAGTCTGCATAAACATTGCAGTTTAATAAAGCAAAACACGAGGAGCTTTTTCATTCGCTGTAAATACTTTGTCAGACACCGTTGCTGCAGATTGCATGCATATTCATAAAAAAAAAAAAGTTGCATTTAAAATGAGCATCACATCATCAGCTGAGTAAGCATTAGCTATTTCTGAATATTAATGCCGCGCTCCCTCTGCACCCCGCTCCCTGGGGATTCCAGGCTCGCGCCATGCGCGCCCCCTGCCCGCCACGGCAGCCCCTCCGCATCCGGCCCTGCTGCGTGACGCTGTCTGCCGCCGTCCTTAACAAACGCCTATATTTAACGAACGGCCAGGTGGCAGCGAGGAAACCGGGAGCTTTGGTTAGTGCGAGTACCAAGCTGCACGATAAGTGACGGCTTTTATTGCACGGGGCCGTATTTCCTACAGTCAATATTTGTCATGGCATCGCGTTGGTGCCAAAAAAAATTATTAAAAAAAAAACTGCTTGCATATTGAAAGATTATATGTTCACCCGCCACTGTAAATGGCAGAGTTCAGTGTAATATTTGAGTAAACGGGGGGAAAGAAAACCATTAGCTCAGTCATCACATTCGGGTCACCGTTAATCAAATATTTAAGAGCTGATGAGAAACCTCAGTGTATGAGCTCCGTTAACTATTACGGCTTTTAAAAATAAGGTCAGGTTGGGTGGTCCAAGGTCGGGTCAGTTAGCTTTAACCAAAGACGGGACACGCAAAGGCATCGGACGGTGACAGGGAAGGACACAGCTGAAATACAGCAACGTAAAGGCAACTTTTTCAAGCCGGACTTGGACCACCTTTCCAGCTAAACCAGGGACGCGAGTTCGGTCGGCTGGCTGGCGTGAGATTTTTAATTCGAGACAAGTCTGCACACACAGACACACGCATTTACATGCATGTAACAGTTTTATTACCTTGTAAATAGTCTGTAGGGTTTGCAGACTACCCCAATGGTCTTGATGTGGTCAATGTTAGGTTTATAATGTAATAATATAGATATCGATTTTTTTTGTATGAGCATGAGAATCTGACAGCATGAGTGTCGTGTCATATATGTGGCAGCTGGCAACTCTGTAGCCCTACATCCACCTTGCTGAGCCTATTTAAACCAGGAGAGCAAATGATAGTAAAACATAGTGCCCTGTGACGGACCAGCATCCCGTCCAGGGTGTACCCCGGCCCCGCGCCCTGTGACGGACCGGCGTCCCGTCCAGGGTGTACCCCGGCCCCGCGCCCTGTGACGGACCGGCGTCCCGTCCAGGGTGTACCCCGGCCCCGTGCTACCTGCATCCCCCGTGATCCTGACCAGCATAAGCTGGATATGCATATGTAATAAATGCATATGTAAATATGTGTCCCATCTATTTTTACATGTGCGAATACACACACACATGCAGAGATTTCTTCCAGCACCTTTCTTCAGCGTTGCCTAGGCTACAGTGACAGGTGTTTGAGCTTGCCGAAGGTGGGGGGGGTTGTCTATGAGTGTTGAGGTGACACCTGATGGGGAAGTAGGTCTCCTCCTGTAGAAGATTCCGACAGAGCCGGGCGGGGCGCTGGCGTCTGCATAATTAGAGGGTAAGGCTCACAAAATACTAACAGGAAATTGATTCCTTCTCTGCTGAATATTGATCCCGGATTCCTAGCAGAAAGGGGCACAGTCATCTTGTCTGCCAGTCCTGCTGTCCGGCCACAACAACAAGACCTTCTGCTGCCGCATGCTGTCTGAGTCCAGCGCTATTCCCCCCCGAAGACAGCGGGGTGGGGGCTTTGATACTGCCATTGCCCCAACTTTACTAAATTAAAGCAGATTGAAAAGCAAGGCTTAGACCTCTTAATCATCGTTATCCGTCTCGCGCCTAACCATA